TTTGGGAGGCCGAGGAGGGCGGATCACGAGGTCAGGAGATCGAGACCATCCTGGCCAACACAGTGAAACCCCATCTCTTAAAATAAAAAATCTTAACTCAGCCTCTCAGTTGTTCCACATTTCCCTAATGGAAAGGTCTCCACCAAGTAGCAGTAGGTATAGCTCAGCCTTCCCCCATTACCAAATTAAGGGCTGCCAAGTTAAATTACTTGGCATCCTCATTTCTAGCTCTAGCTCTAACAGGTGGCTCAGCCTAGAGGTCAGAATACCAGTCAGGAAGTTTCTGCTGCTGATTCATGCTGTAATCGCAAGCAAGTTGCTTACCCATCGTCCAGAGTAGTTGACAAGCACCTCCAGAGGGGCAACATATGGCCTTACTACAGAATCAACTGACAACAAATTGAATCCAGCTGAAATTAGTAATTCTGAATGAAAGGAAGAGAGAGGTGGTATCAGGAATGATGCACGTGCCAGTAAGTTATCCGCTTGCTAAGTGAGACTACGCAAAGCTTATTGAAAAATACTACCTAGGACTTCATAAACATTTACTTGGGCAAATCACTCTTAACTCTGCTAAGCCTCGTTTTTCTTGTCTGTAAAACAGGACTAATACTCTACCATACTTCCTCATAGAATCATGAGGATTAAGAAAACTGTAAACTGCCTACCATAGTGGCTGACATATAGTGCTATGATTTGAAAGCCTATCATTAATAAACCCAAATCATTCCTGTGAAAAGCACCCACTAGACTTCCAACAAAACCATATAAACCAAGATTCCGGCCAACGGGCCCTGAAATTCTTTTAATTTCTTGAAGTGGTTTTACTGAAGGCTTCAAATCACCTCAATTTTCAAAGCCATTAAAATCTCCAGGTCCATTTACAGGTCAGAGGCATTCTTCAAAGCAGATTACCACTAGTAACCTGGTTTCTGGTACCGGAGTAACAGGAAGAATGCCAGGGCAGTGCCTCATACCACCAACCTCAAAATAACTGCTTCATAATTCCTGACCTTCGTTAACCTCCCTGGCAGTTCTATGTCCCCAGAGGGATGGGACAAAAGCCTGGTTCCTGGCCAGGGTCCATTGTCTGCCCATAAACGGTCTACCTTCTCTTGCCTTTTTTTACTTTGCTACTTCTAAATGACTTTCCCCACTTCCTAACCCACTTTCTCTCCTCTGAGCTATATTCACAGGATATTCACTGCTGAATGTTCTTAGAAATGCCTATTAACACTACTGGAATGAAGTTGTACGAATATAATCAAGAAAAGGAATGTTATATAAATGTTTAGGGCAATTAGCTCAGGCAAAGAAACTGTGGTATGCCACTCCAGCCAGAAAGATCAAGAAAATCCTGGTAGCCAAATGTACCTATTTCCTGTGTACAAATGAAGGGCAAATTAAAACCAGCCACTGAACAAAAATCTCGAGGAAATTAATCATGTAGCTAGGAAGCAAATGACCATTTAGGACAGTTTACAAAATAGAAACCAAACGGCTTTTTTCCACGAGGTAGTAAAGGAGGAGAAAAAAAGGGGACTTAAATATTTGAATGCTGGCCAGGCGCAGTGACTCACGCCTGTAATCCCAGCACTTTGGGAGGCCAAGGTGGGTGGATCACTTGAGGCCAGGAGTTCGAGACCAGCTTGGCCAACATGGTGAAACTGTCTTTATTTTTAAAAAATAAATAAATAAGAAAAAAAATATTTGAATGCTAAAACTCTTGTTCTTTTCACCTTGACAAAAGATAGACAAACTATCTTTTTACCTTAACCTTCTTGCTTTTCATTCAACTCAGTACTCTGTAATGCAAGGTCCTTTCAAAGATTTCCAGCAGAATCAAGTATATGAAGTGTTTAGTTTATGAAATACTGCAGAAATCTTTTGATGGGATTATGCGGAACTTGAGACTACCCTTTTGTTAGAGCAACCATCTCATTAAGAAGTCACCGCATCCGAGTTCCTGAATACTGCTGTAGTAGCCCTGATCTTAGCTGTTATGTTGTCAACATAACAGCTTATGGTCTTAGCTGTTATGCTGTTAGGTTGTTAACATAGCAGCTTAGGTTCAACTTTAAAAATCAGCCAATATCCAAAGTTTCCTCATCTTTTAATCTCCACATATTCTTCCTTTTAATTTGTTCCTAAATGCAAGCAGTAGATTATGGTTAGTGAAGAAGTATGGATTTGGCTACAAAGCCCATCCTTCCTTACTAAGGGAATACACACAGCTAAAGCCAGAAAAGCAGACACTGGCAGTGGCCAACACAGTCAAGCTTTCTAACACACACATTAAACAAAAAACAAACACTGCCTGAGGGCACACCTGTGAATTCATAAAATCTAACAAAGACCCTTTACATGAGTCTTTAAAAAAGTTTTCTTCTTGTTGGAGACAGGGTCTCTGCCACCCAGGCTAGAGTGTAGTGGAGTGATCATGGCTCTCTGCAACCTTGAACTTCTGGGTTCAAGTGCTCTTCCCCCTCCTCCTGCCTCAGCCTCTACACAGCTGGGACTACAGGTGTGTGCCACCACGCCTGGCTCATTTATTTTTTTGCAGGACAGGGTCTCGAACTCCCGGGCTCAAGCAATCCGCCTACCTCAGCCTCCCAAAGTGCTGGGATTATAGCCGCCCTGCCCATTTGAAATGTCAACAACGACAAATATTTGCTTTGGTCAAACTACTATAGAATTCTGTATCATCTTCTTGGTTAATGAGAGTTAATTCCAATATCAACATATTCAAAGTGAAGGACATAGCAGTAAAATTCCTTAAATACCTGTTTGTTGTTTTATTTTGTTCGAGTTGTCACAATTTTCACCTACTGCTAACTAGGAAATAAACAAGGCATTTATTGCAACTGACTAATGAATGTATGACAGTGGCTTAAAGGGGAGCCACAGAAACATAAGTTGAGAATTCAGACAGCTGGAGAACCAAATCCTTAACATACATCTGGGAACAGAGTGCAAAAATAAACTTACTTATCAATTGCTTTGAGTAACAGACCACTCTAAACCAGTTCGAACACTGACCAAAAGGACTGGCTTCCTTCTACCTTTTGAGGGATCTATGGCAAACCTACACATGTGCATAGCCGCAAAATCAGTCCGCATACATACCATTTCCTCACATGGCCCAAAAATCCATACTTCTACTGGTCTCACACCAGGTAAACAAGTTTGCTACATGCAGCAGTGAACTCCAAATGAGTTAGTAAGCCTTACAATTTTTTGTTTGATTTTGTTTGCTTTAAGTCAGCCTTACAGCTTTGTTTAGAGATGGGGTCTCTCTGCCACCCAGGCTGGATAGAATGCAGCGTCCTGATACAACTCACTGCAGCTGAAACTTCCTTGAGCTTATGTGATCCTCCCACCTCACCTTTCTGAGTACACAGGATTACAGGTGTGTGCCACCACACCCAGCTAATTTTTTTTTTTTTCCCTAGAGAGACAGGGTCTTACAATCTTGCCCAAACTGGTGTGGAATTCCTGGGCTCAAGTGACACTCCCCACCTCAGTGCTGGGATTACAGGCGTGAGCCACCACATCCGGTCTCTCTTACAGATTTTTATCTGTTTTAACTGTTTTAAACTGGACCTCCACATTTAGGAACTCCAAATACTTCCCTCTCTGCCACAACATACCCACTGTCGCTGACACCTTCCTATTACTGCTAATGTGACCGAAATACAAAAGAGAGCAGAGACTAACACAAACTTCAAAATAAAATAAACAACATTGGACTCCAATCTCTGCCAACTCCTAACATCCTACCTGTTCAGCTTATTCCTTCCTTAAATATGAACAATTTCACCCCGCTAGACAGGTCAGTGACTAGCACAGTGATAACAGGTAAAAACTTCAGGCCAGGCGCAGTGGCTCACGCCTATAATCCCAGCACTTTGGGAGGCTGAGGTGGGTGGATCATGAGGTCAGGAGTTCATGACAAGCCTGGCCAAGACTGTGAAACTCCCTCTCTACGTATATACAAAAATTAGCCAGGTGCGGTGGCAGACGCCTGTAACCCCAGCTACTCAGGAGGCTGAGGCAGGAGAATTGCTTGAACCCGGGAGGGGGAGGTTGCAGTGAGCAGAGATCACGCCACTGCACTCCAATCTGGGTGACAGAGCGAGACTCTGTCTCAAAAAATAAAAAAAAAAACTTCACCTAGTACTTGGCACATGGTAAGCCCTCGATTAAAGGTAGCTATCATCATTATGGTCATAATTTAATATTGAGAGACTTGATTACAGAAATAAAACCATCCCTGTTAAAGGACAATAATAGTCCAACACACAAAAATAGACGTGTATCTCGTGCAAAATAGACGTCAGATACCCTAAGACCTCAGTTTATTTGTTTTTGCTTTTAAAGTTTATTTAATTCTATTACCTCCACCTACCTTTACAGGTAAGTAAACTCGGGGCACTCACTCACGGTCTGGCAAACTGGGACCCAAAGACTGAATTGATAAGTCTGTGCTCTTAACCCCACACTGAAGAGCCCATTCAATGACTTCCTCTTCGACAAGGAATGGATCTGGGGCCAGATTATTAAATAAGAGATCAAGGTTTGAAAGGCCCTCGGGCCCCACCCACCCGTCTAAACTTGAACACTATCCAATGTTAATTCAACTCTAAAGGGTAGAAAAACGTAGTGGTTTTAGGAGCGTGGACTGATGAGTCAGACAAACCAGGTCTTAAGGCCTGGTGTGAGGCGCGTACTAGCTGGGTGACCTTACTCTTTATCAGTCTTGCTTTCCTCATGTGTAAAATGGGGATTGAAGCAGTTTTGAGTATTAATGTAAACGACCCACAGAAACCACGCAGTACAGCGCTGATTAACATAACTAACGAGAGCCATGGAAAAGGACAGATAGGAGCTATAATAGAAGGTGGAGCCTGTCCCGGGGTAACCCAGCAGACCAGAGAGCAAGGACTCTCCCCAGCCTCAGGGGCAGTCGCCCCCGGCCACTGCCGCAGGCCCGCCCTTACCGCTCTTGGGTTTAGACTCGCCGGCTGGCCCCGCCGAGGCGGAGCGGGGCGGCTGTTGCCCTTTGCTGCTGCCCGAACAGGCGGAGGAGCTGTTGGAGCCGCTGTTCTTGTCCATGTCGGAGGCGGTGGCGGCGGCGTTGGGGGAGCTCAGCGGCATCAACGGGGGCCTCGGCGGCGACGGCGGTCGGAGCGGAGCGGGCGCGGCGGGGACCCAGGCTCATGGCGTTCAGGGCCGGCGGGGGTCGGCGGCGGCAGCGGTTCTCGGTCTTCATGGCGACATTTTTCCCTGTTTCCTTCCTTGGCTTCTCAAATTAGAAAGAGAAGCGGCAGACGGGGCTGTCAAGCCCGGCGGCAGCGGTGATAGAGGAGGAGGAGGAGGCCGGGGCTCGGGAGTCCTGGCCGGGCCTGGCGGGGCGGAGGCTGCGGGGGAAGGGGAGGTGAGGGAGGGTGCGCGAGCCCCGCCGGCCGGCCGGACACGCTCTCCCGCCGCGGGGCAGGGGAGAGGGCTGGCTGTCTTGGTGTCGGGGACAAGTGTCTCCGACACAGCGACGGACACTCGCCCCTGGGCCGAAGCTCAGTTGCTCCGGGAATGGCGACGAGTCGCCAAACAGCATCTCGAAGAACCCGGATGGGCTATATATATATACAGCGGCGGGGGGGGGGGGGGGGGTGAAGTATTCTGGGAAATGTAGTTTTTGCATACATCCGGGGTTCGTAGGGGGTTTTTTTTGTTTGTTTTTCGTTTTTTTCTTTTAATTTCCTCCCGACACACGATCCAACCGCACTGTGAGGGTGTTCGGGATAATGCGAGTTGTAGTTCTCTCCAGGTCCAGGTTTTTTGACTTAGTACACTAAAAATACAGTAACAATAATAATATACACTAACAATAATGTAGCCAAACATTGAAATACCTGTGGAAGTCCTTTCTAGGCTTGTTTGATTTATGGTTCTAATTCCAACGTTAATACCAATTGATTTATGTCCCTTAGTCCATCTCGTATTAGGAATAATAATAATAGCGTTAATAAGGACAATACCTTACATTTAGTATCACTTTACAGTACTTCACACAGTACATCACTTTATTACTCTAGCCTGGCGTGGTGGCACACGCCTGTGGTCCCAACTACTCGGGAGACTGAGGCAGAAACGGCCGGAGACTGTGGTTCATGCGTGTAATCCCAACACTTTGAGAGGCAGAGGTGGAAGGATCCTTGAAGACCAGGAGCTCCAGACCAGCCTGGGGAATATATCGAGACCCCTGTCTCTAAAGAATAATAATTTTTTTTTCTTTCCTCGAGACGGAGTCTTGCTCTGTCGACCAGGCTGGAGTGCAATCGTGTGATCTCGGCTTACTGCTACCTCTGCCTCCCAGTTTCAAACGATTCTCCTGCCGCAGCCTCCCGAGTAGCTGGGATTACAGGCGCCCGCAACCATACCCAGCTAATTTTTGTATTTTTAGTGGAGACAGGGTTTCGCCATACTGGGCAGGCTGGTCTTCATCTCCTGACCTCTGAACCACCCGCCTCGGCCTCCCAAAATGCTGGGATTACGGGTGTGAGAC